ATCGACCACCGCTGACAGCGTCTACGACGTCGCTCGCGGTGGCGTACGATGGTTGGAGAGAGAGACAACCATCCAAAAGTCTCCTCTCACCCCTCAACCCAAATCCCTAATCATATTAGCCTAAAACCCGATCTAGGCCCCCAGATCTACAAGTTTACCTTTCGAAGTAACGAGACACCAGCGAGCTTTGGTGTTCCCGACGACTTCCTACCCCCGGTAAGATTCTCCTCTCCTTTCCTCTTATTTTTCTTTTTTTCCAAACTCCCTCCTCCCTGTTTTTCTTTCTGGTTTTTTTCTCCTTTTCGAAACTGTTATTTTTTTTATTCCCGAATCCTATCCTCTAGTTCTTCTCCTCTGATTTTTATTTGCATGTCTGACTTCCCTATTGCCTAGGAGAGTGATTGATACATTTAGATTAGCCTTTGATAAACTCTGATTTTTTAGGATTTGGTCATGGACTTTGTTATATATTGGTCTGACTTTCGGTCACTGTGGGTGTCACTGTAGGATGGATGGATGCAAACGGGACAGTCGGCATCAACATCAGAGAGTGGCGGCAGCAACAACATCATATCCCTAGGGTTAGGTTTCAGAAACCCTAGGTAGCCGGGTCGGATCCTAGGTTGGGTCTTCTCTATTTGTCTTGTAATTGGGCCAGTTCGGGTTAGCTTGAATTGATATGGGTTTGCTGGGTTTAGGGTGATAGCTGAGTGATGTAATCTAGGCTTCGGGTCATTGGGCTTTGGGTTGAGCGTTTTGCCTGCAAAAAGTGTAATATATACTTTAATAAAAAATATAATAATAATAATAATAAATAAAATAATATTTTTGATAGACTCAGACAAAAACGGGTGTCTACACAAGCCAAATGACATAATTCTCACCAATTAATCCAGAAACAAAAAAGACATACATAGAGACAAAATCATAAAGAAGAGACGGGTTGGACATTTTCCATTACCTTCCGAGCTGTTGCTCTCCATGACTGAAACCCTATCCAGGCATTCCTGTGTAGACGGTCAATCTGGTTAGCAATAGCAAAGAAGGCACCATATTCATCAAGAGTGTCTCGGTAGTATGGGTTGTTAAGAAGTGGCAGACGAGAAGGTCCATCAATATCATCCATCCCTGGTCTTCGACCTTTGGTGGACTGCAACATCCATTGTACAACTTTAATTGCTTGAAGGAGAAATGGGTATCCAATTGTTTAAAAATGAGTTTTTAAATAAATTCTTGATTTCATTTTAAGTAAACCAATAAGTGGAACAAAAGAAGAATGTAAACCCATATAATTCTTTTACCAGCTTACCAATCCAAATCCACGATAAAAAGAATTTTGGAGCAGGAAAGGCCTTGTACCTTCCCCAAAATAAGGTTCATATATACATAATGGTTGGCCAATCCATTCGAGCTCCCTTTCATCCCTTTCTGCAAGTCGTTCCTCATACGGTCAGCCCTCTTGGCATTTCGATATACATCCTCCCAGGTGCCACGAGGTTGATCTGTCCTGTCTTTCAACTACAAGACATTTGAAAGAGCATGAATCTTCAGTAAAGAACAACGTAAACAAGGACAGCTGAAATTGTTCAACTAAACTTTTGGGTAACATGCTATTGCCCAGAACAATTCTTACCTGTTGCTCCTCTCTCCTTTTGGCATTGAGAACATGAGCCTTTTTTTCTTCCTCCCAAATATCATACGAAAAGAAATCATCCATAGCAATTAATGAACCAAACTTCTCCCTTTGAGAATGGTTCCATTGTTCCTCTAAAGTGTTCAAAATTTTGGAACTCCTGTCTTTGAAAGTAGAGTTTAGAAAATCCTCAAACAGGTTCCACTTCCATTCTTCTTTCAACTTTGAAGTATGTTCTGCAACAACCTTAGGAGGTGCAACTTCGGATGGAAGCTTGACAACAGTTTCCAGTAGAAAGGCATATCCTTCAACAGTTTCCTAAACCATCAAGTTTTTAACAGTTCCTTTCCCAATCAAAGCAATATTTTGTGTCAATGGAGACAATTTTCCATTTGATATCACTTGCTAAATGATTTGAGTCAAAACTCTAATATTCTCCTTCGGAAAAATAAAGCTGTTTACCCTGTCATCAACCTAATTGCTATTGCCAAGTCAGTAGTTTGTTTGCCTAATGATCCCGAACATCCATGAACAGAAAAAGAGTGACAGAGGCTTACATATGGAATGATGACTCCTCAAGGAAAGAGCCATATATCACAAGGTCAGTCATGCAAAGAACACTGTCAACATCTTCCTCGATGGCCACATGCTTCACCACACCACTAGGGTATCTCAAGTTAAGAGCAATTCTCCGGGGAAAATGCAATATATGTGAAATAGAAAAAAATAGTGAGAAGTTCTAAAACTATGTCCACATATGAATTTAACCGCAGCATTCAATAAACTATAAAGTGATTATGGACATACCTCAACAGCCATGCTGTAGTTACCTGTTGAATCACTGCTTAAAACAATAATTTTCAGATGGGAACTTGAAATCTTGTCAGATGAAAAGTCAGCAAAGAGGGGTAGTAAAGCTTGCAAAATAAGGGCATGCTCCAACCATAAGCCTCTCTCTGTACATAAATTGACTTCCAACAATCACAATGAGTACTTCATCAGGTCCATAACCCATCTTCTTACGCTGATTATCTTTGTACAAATTCATTGCATTCTCTCCTTTCCAGAATCAAATGTAGAAAAGATCATCTGCGGAAGGTAGGGTAACAAAATCAAATCACTAGAAGCAAAAACAAGTTATAAGGCACTCTTAGAAGCACAGGTGGAACTACGTGCACTAGGCATTGAATGTAAAATCTGGGTCAAAAGATAAATCAGTTACTTGGATATTTTCTAATAAAATAGGAGCACATTAGTTGCATCCATTTGTCCCACTGTTCAGACCTTAATGGCAACAGATAACACCTATATACCATCATTACTTTTAGTTATTAGCATGTTAACAATGAACCGGTGATCAAATGATTTGCAAAGAAATATTACCGGAAGTGCATAGTTTGGGAAGACAACAGTAGCAGGACTGAAAACCTTTTTCCAATCATTCACAAGCTCAATCTGCCCTCTAGAACGTACACGAGCACTCTTTCATGGATTGTCCATATGACAGGAATAGATTTTGAAAGGTTCCTGCATAAAACTATAACAAGTAAACTCATGCATGTTAATTGACTCAGACAAGTAACAGATCCAGTGAAATTTTCAAACATACATGGTAAAAGATAAAATAAAACAGATTAATAATGTCTTCAGCATGTATGCTAAAGTAATCTTAAACTTCTGAAAGCAATAGGTACAGAGTATTTACATATAAAAAAATAGAATATCTTACCTAGAAAACACACTCTTGGCCTCAAGAGAGCTAGCAAGTATGCCATCATAGCTGCAAAAAAAATATATATCACAATTATATACCCAAAAGAACAAAATTCTATACAGGAGAAACTCAATCATTAAGGAAGAAAAGGATGTTTTATCCTGAATCAAAGCAAAAAAAAAAAAAAAAACTCCACAATCACTTGATCAAATTTCTTAATATAAGAACAAACAAAACTGATACATATATAAATAATTCAGTAATTGGGTATAAAGATGAAGACCTTCAATTAAAGTTTGTCAAATAAAGTATCAATCCTAAAGTGGAATTTCTAGAGATTACAAACAAAGGAACATACTTCAGCCAATCAACAGCAATCTTTCGATCCGACTTTAAGAATAGTGAATGGAACTCTGATGCTTCGCCAAACACTGCGCACAGGATCATCTTCAAGGGAGTAGACCTTCCAAGAATTAATGTAAACACATGAAGCTAAGAATTAAGATGAACCGTTAACTTCATCTTCAAAGAGTTTGTTATTCATATTCAATTCTATCACTCCAGACATTTCCAGAAATATAAGCACCAAGTTTTCAGCTGAAAAGACAGCTAGAGTGTTCTTGACTCATCAGCAGAATTCCATATATGTATGTGTGTGTTTGTATATATCAACTTGCAAATGATTTAACTGTCCAGAACTGAATGTCATTTACCTGAAGTTCATAACCAATCTCTCTCAACGCAGTTGCAATGGTTACCATTAGCAATTGTTGTTGGTCGAAGTGGAAAAAAAAGGAACTCCTAATAACAGAATGCAGCAGAAGACCCAACAACAAAAACTGATTGAATAAAAAAAAAAGACAATTTTCACTAACCAGTGCAAGCTGAGGTTTTCTATAATGGAAACGGTGTTGACTCCAGTTGAAACCAAATGGAGAGTCCAAATTGAGATGCTTATTTGCTTTCTGGAATTTCTCTAAAAGCTTAGTCGGTTCCAATCTGATATCTTCACCGAAATCTAGCCCTCCCATCTCTTTCAAAGACCTCAATTCTCCAAATACCAAACCTTTATCATCCAAGAAGGAATCTTGAGATTTGTCCTTCACTGAACCAGGCAAAAACATTTGGAAGAACACCACAAAGAAGAGGAAAACAGAAACGGTGCAAACCCATTGGAGATAATCTAGCTTCTTGAAAAGAAAAAGACGAGAAAGTATATATCTGGGTCGGGTGGGGAAGAGGTTTCTTTCGTTCCTACTAGCGGCTCTCTTCAACGAGATCCCGTTTTCCAAGGAACTCATTTACATTATCATTCAAGAAGGGAAGCTCAGTCTAAAATAGGAAACAAGGAAACGGAGCATAGAGTAGAAGTGAAGAAGCTTGTGAGTAAAAAGAGCTATAGCAACAGTAGCATTCACATGGATTTCAATGGTCATTTGTCAAAGATTAATAAAGAGTGGCATACACAACAACTGGCGCAAAGCAATTTGTACCAAGAGAGAGAGAATTTGGGTGCGACCTGTAATCTCTTACTATTTCAGCTTGTTCTGTCTTTGGATTGTTTATTAACTTCAACCAAAAACCATAACTCAGGATTGTTTATTAATGATACAAAACAAGATTATCAATCAACCAAAGGCCATAAGTCCGAGAGCTTAGAAGCAGATGGTTTCGAGAAGAAGATGATCCAACTGGATGCTCCATCCTTGGGGCTGCAATTGGTTGTGCAGAAGGCAATCACATGGTCTTTCGGCTTTTTCATAGTCCATCCAGAGGGGACTCGAGGGCATGATCATCAACCAACCAAAGGCCATGGTCTCGGAAGAGCTTGGTCTTCTTCTCAAAGCCGAGGATGTAATTATTATGAATTATGACATGCATTCCCCTGGTTTGTTGCACCCATGTCTTGTTCTTGAAGTATAATCCTCCTGTTGGAAATGCTGCCTGAGGAAGGAGGTAGAGATCCACCTGCAGAGCATATTATCAATGTACAATTATCAGAAAACCGAATCTTACTACCAGAAAATAGATCACACACCATCGATTACAAATACCAGAGAGAGAGAGAGAGAGAGAAGGCTCATAAAACCGCAAATCTCACAGCCCGAGTCTTTACATTCACAAACCAAAAGCAACAGTTTGTCATGAACCAGAAATGCAAGTAGGACACATGCAAAAGATATTTCTAAAGGATATCACATCGGATTAACCATAGATGTTCCTTTAGCACTATATAAGCCAATTACCCATGTTACAGATTGCCGAAAGATGCAACTACACATGACCGAGAATTCGTTTTAATATGATACATCATGGTTTCAAATTGCGGTAGCGTTTCGGTCATTTCGGGTTTACCGCGATTGCGGCCATAGCGGACGCTATTGCTGCCGTAGCGAGCGTTATTGCGGATGTAGCAGGTATATCGAAACGCAACGCAACTGCGAAATTGCGGGCGCTATTCCGGTCGCGGACCGCGATTTGAAACCCTGATATACACTAAGTGCAGCACTAGTAAAAGGACAAATTTCAATTAGCAATGTTTTTCAAATTATGGCATGATGAACGAGTACAATACTGTCCAAACTTTGAAGTGTTGGCCAGAATTCAGGAAAACATGCAAATATGGCAAAAAAGTTCCAACTTGAAGAAGAATACAAATGAGAACTATTAGGTACATATATGCTATAACCCCAAAATTGAAATGACAAGAAGATGCATAAACATACCACTCCAGAAGTTTTTAGTAAAGCCCAGTTAAAAGCAGGCTGATCATTTGCTTTTTTTTGCTTTGGACCATGGTTGAGCTTGAAGTTCTTCAATCCATTTCTTCATTACTAGCTTTACTCCATCGGTGGCATGCAGAAAAATCATACAACTACAAATATAAGGGCAACCCTTTTACCCTGGAGGTGGCAAATCATGGGAATGGTTCAATGGATTTGTCATAACCATTTTTTTTAAAAAACACAATTAAGTTTAAAAATAATTATGAATTTATTTGAAAAATTGACGATTTTGAATTAATTTAAAAATTTTGAATTGAAGTCGCCATCGACCTTTGGGTTAGGTAGGTCCAATACCTAAAAACATATTTTAAAACAATTTTAATAAAAATCATTTTTTTTAAACAAGACTTGGTCTGCGTTAGCCAAAAATTCATATAAAGGTCAGAAGTCGATTATGCGTGGGGAAGGATAAACACCCCCACAATACCCAAAATCGGTACTTAGTCACTTATATACCGCCGTAATGGTGGAACTTAAAATTCGAATCAAAAATAAAATTATGGTATATTTATTGAATATTTATGAAATTACTCCGAATTAATAATTTAAAGAAAATTCTTTAACTTGATAAGAAATCTGGAGATTCGAAATCCTCCATCGGAAAAACAATCTCACCTATTTCTTATCCGTAAATAATATTCTATCTTCGAATTACTTAAAAAATTAATATAAAAAATTGGCATAGAATAAATCATGATTAATTTTTCTTGAACATACATCATTAATACTAACGTTTAAAGATAACAAAATAAAACTAAAACTAAATCATTCAACATTATGAAAATAGAATAATAATAATAAAGAATTAAAATAAATAAAATAAAATAAAAATATAATGATTTTAATAAACTCATATAAAAGTATTCGTGTTTTCAAGTTCATATTCCATTAGAACGTCGTATCAGATTGCACCACTTTAATCAAATGGTACTTTTCACGCCCGTTCTACAAATAAGGTTCTTAAAAATAATTTCGAGTGTATATATATATATGCATTAGGGAAACAATGAATATCAAACGATTTAAAACGTGACTAAGTTTAGCAACCATGTCCTAAACTAATTAAAATTTATTATAATAATAAAATGCCTAAGTAATATATATATATATATATATATATATATATATATAATCCCTATAAAAATAAAGATGGAATAAAATAAAACCAAACTATCACATGGATCAAAGTAACAAGCATATATTTAGCAAGAAAAAGGTTTAAATCAAAGCTAATTATAATAACAGTGTCTAAACAAACAAATAAGCCAACATAAATATAAACAGTGACTAAAAAAATATATCATAGCAACTTTAAGGGTCTGGTCCGTATATTACCATTTCTATATAGTATAAATGAAGGACAAAAAAGTAATGAAAGGAAAATATATTGGCAAGATTGAGTATTTAACTCAACATTTGAAAATAGTGATCAAAATGTAAGTTTCATAAATATATAAGATAATGTCTAATATCCACAAAATATACACAATAACAGTATGGTGACCTAGATACAGGATTTACAAATGTGGGGCATGAAATATTAAGCAACTAAATTACAACATGTGATTATAAAAGAAAATCACAAAACCCAGAGGCCTCAATAATGAAATTTACCCACGCGCTAAAATTGCAACCGACCCCTCTCTAAACGGTGTCGTTTGGGACCTTGGATATATGGTCAAACGAAAGGCCTAAGTTCAGTAAGACTCCTGAGTTTCTCATTTCCCCTCTATCTTCAAGAATCGGAGAGCAAAATGCTCTCGTTTCTTTCCTCTCCTCTGCCTCTCTCCCTCCGTCCTCCGCCGAGGATGGAAGCCTCAACTCCCCGGCCACCGTAGATCGGTGGCCACGGGGAGCAAAACATGTCAAAAAGCCTTCTCTTTTACTTCTTATCTCTCTTTCTCTTATAAAACAACCCTTTAACATACTTAAAACCCGAAAACCCACCGCATTTCAAACCTTAATAGACCCTAGAAAAGGGAAAAGATTTTACCTTCAAGGATGGTCTTTCCCAGTTCCGATGAGGTCGCTAATAGTCAGATCTACAAGGTAAGTTTCGGTTTCGTTTGGTTTCATTTTCTCTCATTCCTTTCTCTTTTTTTAGTTCTTGTTCTCTGCTTTTTCCACTCTATTTTTTTCTTTGAAAAAATGAATCCTTTTTCTTTCTCTTCCCCCTCGTTTTATGTTGCATGCATTGGTTGTGGTGATCCTTCTGTTCCCGAGATGAGAGGATATGATTACCTCAAAAAATCTATCTAGATTTGTTTTCACTTTTTTATTTGGGGTTTTTTGACGTGATTAATCTGATGATGGATTGATTTAGTGCAATCGGTTGACTGAGATGACTCTAGCAGGAACGACGGTGCCGGTGATGGGAGCTTTGGCCTAGGCGGCGACAGTGGAGGGCAGCTTTGGCTTCAGGCCCTATATATCATCGGGACCATTGGATCTAGATAGATCTACTGGCTGAAACATGTCGGTGACTGATGGGTCATACCAGAAACCCTAGCTTCAAGTTATATGGAATGTTGAATGGGTCCACATCTGAGGGCTATCGTTGAGCGGCACTGGAAAACTACCATAAATCCTAATATATTTAGGGTTTCGATAAACTGGGTTGAGTCAGATATGGGATTCAGGTCATGCCATTGGGCTCTGGGTCTTGTAACTGGTTGGGTCTTGATGGGTCATACCCTAGGTTATTGGGCTTCGTCATTGTTCCATGTTTTGTAATGGGGTTGGGCTTCAGGTTGGGGCCTGTAGAAAAATGTAAATATAATAATAATAATAATAATAATAATAATAATAATAATAATAATAATAATAATAATAATAATAATAATTTAAAATAATTTAAAAACCTATACAAAAATGAGTGTCTACAACTACCCCTATTTGTTCATTCTTGTGTTAACAAGAATATAACAAAGACTACAAGACAACGAGTTTTTTTTCGGTTCTCTCTTTTGCTTTGAAATTTTATTTTTTTGTAGATGACGTTGTTCCTTCTCGTTGAGGAAGTCAGGTCAATCTGGAGATAATTGGTGACAACTCGGTTCCTACGTGATAAGGAAGTCCGATTGTTTAAGGATGACACTGCTCATACGCGATGAGGAGGTATGGTCGGTGGATGACATTGTTCCTACGTGATGAGGACATCTAGCCATCTTTAGGTATAAATGGAGATAACACGGTTCCTACGTGACTAGGAAGTCTAGCTATCTAAGGATGACGTTGCTCCTACGTGATAAGGAGATCTGGTCGGTGGATGGCACTGTTCCTACGCGATGTGGATGTCTTGTAACACCCATAACCCATATAATTATACCTATACAGATTATAGATGTCACCCGAATTTCTAAAACCATTTCCACTTCAAAAGTGATTTAAAATTTATTTCATTTAAAATAGTAAATGATATTATAAAAATATCATATCATATGAATTATGATTCATTATAACAAATTTAAAACCAAAGTATTTTTTATGAATAGTGAACAATGAACAATGAATATGACCATGAATAGTGAACAGTGTACCGACACACTGCTACAGTAACGTGAACAATGCATCGATGCACCAAAATTTTGAACTTAAAATGTGTATCGATGCACTGCTACAGTACTGGTACAATAAATTCTGAAAAATACATATAAAACTCATAAAAATTAACCATTCATCACTATAAAATTTCCATTTTTGTTTCCAACTTTATTCAACAAAATAAATTAAACATTATTAATTACATGCCACTATCTAATTCAAATTCCATCATAGGTTGTCTTACTGATATTGAAATATACTCCTCGATGCTTGATGTCACTTTGAACTCTTTATTCCATTACTGACTTTTTACCTACGCGTGAAAATCATCACACGCTAAGTATAAACTTAGTGAGGCAATTAAAACAATAAATAGTGCAATACAATTCATGCATGATTTTCTATGTCAAAAACAAATGCCATAAGATCATGTTACCGACATATCTAATATTTTTCCATGATCAAAATAAGATAAAATCTCTTACCATTTATCCCATAAGCTCGTAAGCTTATTTTACCAATATACTTACCATTTAATCCCATAAGCTCGTAAGCTTATTTTACCAATATACTTGCCATTTAATCCCATAAGCTCGTAAGTTTATTTTACCAATATACTTGCCATTTAATCCCATAAGCTCGTAAGCTTATTTTACCAATATACTTACCATTTAATCCCATAAGCTCGTAAGTTTATTTTACCAATATACTTTCCATTTAATCCCATAAGCTCGTAAGCTTATTTTACCAATATGCTTACCATTTAATCCCATAAGCTCATAAGCTTATGTTACCAATATACTTTCCATTATTCCATAAGCTCGTAAGCTTATTTGCCAGTTTATCATTTATTAACCAATAAACTAATAATTATAGTCCATAACCCATAGCCAAATATTAAACCTTGAGGACCCTGGGTATTCGAGTAAAATACCTGCACCGTAGTGCTAAACCTGCACTAAGCTTACGCCATAATGCTAATCCGAATATGACACATAAGGTCGTGCCCACCACATACACTAAGCTTACGCTATAGTGCTAATCCGGACATGATACATAAGGTCGTATCCATCTTCTCGCACTTAGTGTCCTTTCACACTATAGTGCTATTATAAACCTGCAGCTGCTATACTCTATGGCATGCCAACTATACCCTATCCCTCAATGACTTACTTGGGCATATAGTCTATTTTATTCGATTCATCCATGGAGAAGTATATTATCAATATTTAACATTGGGCAGTTCATACCCGAAAACATTCATGGTAAAATATCACATTTTTCATAATCAATGCATTTTGATTTCATACCCTGACATTTCAATGTCAAGTCAAAGTTATAAAAATGGCATATATCATGCTGATATAAACAAGGTCGACTTATCGTAAGTGTTCCTCATGATGTATACAACATCCATGTATAATGTCATGCATGTATTGCACTCACATTGACACTTTATAATTTCCAAAATATGTGCCTCACTATGTTCCACCATAAACCCTTTTTATACTTGAATTGCTTCAATAGCAAATCAATCATGATCTGTATAAATCACAAATTCATAATAATACATATGTTAGTATTGTACTAACATAAACTTATCCCATAACAACTCCATTTCTACCAAATATTAAACACTTAATAATTCCTTTTAACATTGGAACCAACTTTTCTAATTTACACAAAATGGTCCTTCACCATTTTATCACTGAGATTCTTAATACCAAAATTTCAGCATTGAAGTTACTATCATTCAAATGCTTTACAAAGGCATAATTACATTTAAGTACCCTAACTATGCAAGTGTTGTACTTAAATCATCAATCTTTTCAAACTTCCAAAATAGTCATTTTTCACATATAACACTCACTTAAATTCCAAAACAACAATTTCCAGCATAGTACATCAATTATACAACACATATATAACAACCCCTCAATTTTCCAGAATTTAAGAATTGATCTCCAACTTTTCAAAAATTATGAAATGGTCCTCAAATTTTTCTAAGACTTTTAGAATACTTCCTTCATCATTTCCAACCATATATAATTTTTCCATAATTTTCTCACTCAAACAATCCATGGCCAAAACTTAAAGAACAAGTTCTAGAAAAATTAAACATGTTCTAATAATCATACAAGCTTGAATATGAATCTACAACCTCAAAACATCAATATTCATCATCAATTTCTTGATACCTAATATGAACACAAACCCTTAGATTTGGGATCTTTGAAATCCAGCAAGATTAGAAAACAATATTGGTACCTAAACTTTCCAAAGTTAATACTTTGGTCACCAAACTTTACCAAATTTATAATTTGGTCACTAAATAAATCCATTTATGAAATAAAATTCTTTTTTGGGAAAAATCACCACTTAATTTCTTAAACTTTTCCCAATTTTCTACTTTGACCATCAAACTTTCAAAATTTGCATTTTGGTTATTATCTAAATTTTTGGGGTATTATATGTCTGGCTATCTTTAGGGATAAATGGAGATAACTCGGTTCCTACGCAATGAGGAAGTCTGGCTATTTAAGGATGACGTTGCTCCTACGTGATGAAGAGATCTGGTCAGTGGATGACACTATTCCTACGCGATGATGATGTATGGCTATTTAAGGATGACATTGCTCCTACGTGATGAAGAGATCTGGTCGGTGGATGACACTATTCCTTCGCGATGATGATGTCTGGCCATATTTAGGGATAAATGGAGATAATTCGGTTCTTAAGTGATGAGGAAGTCTGAATATCTAAGGATGACGCTGCTCCTACATGATGAGGAGATCTGGTCATAGTTGATGATGACTGATTCATTGCCTCAATAATGAGACAAGTCTTGAAGATCCTGTTCAAAATGATCACATGTCATGATTTCATGTTTGCAATATGCCCTATAGATGATCTAAATGTAAGTTTGCACATAGGTTTAATGGTTATGCATAGTTTGATCATGGCATTTGGGGACTCTTAAGCTCTTTAATTGGAATATGCGAGATCTCTGTGTTTGTCATTATCTGGGTTCTGATTATGGTACTTTCTTAACCTCTTGTTAAATATTCATCCTTGGTTTCTCTGATCTACCCCAAGAAAGTTTATCTTGGATCGTTAGTTCTTTAGCCATTAGTCGACTTTCTTTTCGAGAAAATTTGATTGAAGCGACCTCTCCCATTTTTCGTGCATCTTTTGATTGGGACCTATTTGTTTGGGAAATGTAGAGTTATGTTGAAATTGATTTCTTTGATGTAGACCATCATTTCTCAATGATCTGCTTAATGATTTAGGGAAATGTATCTTCGTATGTGCTTTCTGGTAAGTACCTGTTTTGAAATCTCCATACGCTGACACTTTTCAGAGTAAGGCATAGTAATCAATATTGTTGATGATCAGTATTTTGGTGAGTATATACAAGGACAATGAATCAAATTTGAAAAAATCATTAAAAAGAGGCAATGAGAAGATACAATCTTCTGGATCAAGAAATATATAAACATTACAAGAATAATGAAGGACAATACAGAGAATGTCAAGTGTTGAGTTCTTCTATTTCTTCACCCCAAATCTTTCCTGAAAGTTGACATATGTCTCTAAGATTCAGATTGTACAAAGGATGTATGAGTTTGATAATCTTTCCCTTAACTGTTAGGCTTCCGAATGAATATTCCATTTCCAATCATGAACATTCGAGCCGTCCATTATGGATTTTCAACTCAAATCCTCCTTTGGTTTCAAGATGCCCATTTTGGGTTTTCATCTTGAAACCTCATTTATTTATTTTTTTTCTTTTTCTTTTTTTCTTTTTTCTTTTTCTTTTTTCTTTTTCTTTTTCCTTTTTCTTTTTCCATTTTTATTTTCTTTTTCTTCTCATTCAAGTGTAATATCGCTTGACTGAATCAGAATTCATAACATTAGGCAACTATTCTCCATCCATTTCTGTCAAAACCAAAACTCCTCCTGATAAGGCTTTTTTCACAACAGATGGACCTTCATAGTTTGGCATCCATTTCCCTCAAAAGTTTTTTTTCATAGGGAGGATAGTTTTTAACACTAAATCATCTTCATAAAATTTTTGAGGTCTGACATTCTTGTCATAAGCTCGTATCATCATTTTTTTGATACATCTGGCCATGGTAAATAGCTCTCAGCCTTTTCTTCTCATTCAAATTCAACTAATCAGACATATTTTGCACCCAATCAGCCTCGTTAAGTTTTAGTTCCATCAATACTCTCAGAGAAGGGTTTCTACCTCAATAGGCAAAGTTGCTTCCATCCCATATACTAGAGAGAATGGTGTTGCCCTAGTAGATGTACGAGCGGACGTGCGATAAATAAGCAGCGCAAAAGGTAATTTCTCATGCAATCTCTATATGTTTCGGTTGTTTTTGTGATGATCTTCTTGATATTTTTATTTGCTGCCTCCACTGCCCTATTTATTTTTGGGCGGTAAGGAGTCGAGTTGTGATGTTTGATCTTCAACTTCGTGCATACTTCCTTCATTAAATCATTGTTCAGATTCAACGCATTATTTGTAATGATCCTTTCTGGTGTTCCATATTTACAAATGATTTCTCTTTTTAGGAATTTGCAAACTGCTCCTTTTGTGACACTAGCGTATGAGGCAGCTTCGACCCATTTGGTGAAGTAGTCGATGGCCACTAAGATAAAACAATGTCTATTTGAAGCCTTTGGTGAAATTGCCCCAATTACATCAATGCCCCACATTGAAAATAGCCAAGGTGCGGTCATTACATGGAGTGGTGAAGGAGGAACATGTATTTGGTTATCATGGATTTGGCATTTATGACATTTTCGAGCAAATCTGATACAATCTTCTTCCATAGTGGACCAATAGTATCCAAACCTCATGATTTGTTTAGCCATTGTTAATCCATTAGCATGTGTTCCACAAATCCCTTCATGGACTTCTTCAAGTATTTTCTTGGCCTCAATTCTATCCACACATCTCAAAAGTACTTGATCCTTACCTTTTTTATAGAAGATATCTCTATCGAGGACATACCCCATTGCCAGTCTTCTTAAAGTTTGTTTGTCGTTTTCAGTTACCACTGTGGGGTAAGCTTGATATTTTACATACTGGAGAAATTGTAATACCATGGGAGACCATCCTCATCTTCTTTCTCAATGTTGCAACAATGAGCTGACCTTTCTCTTATACTCATTCAAATGGGCATCATTCGAGACTGATCATTGGCCTTAAACATGGCTGTCAACGTAGCCAAATCATCTGCCATTTAATTTTCTTCACGGGGAAGGTAAGTGAAAGAAATTTATTCAAACTCCTTGATCAAGTCCATCACTAGGTTCTTGTATTCTATCAATTTGAAGTCTTGAGTCATCCATTCTCTGTGAAGTTGATAAATAACTAGAGCAGAATCGCTAAATACTTCTAGGCTTTTAATTTTACGCTCAATTGTAGGTTGAATACCCAACATACATGCTTCATATTCTACCATGTTGTTTGTGCATTAAAAAACGAGCCTACTAGTAAAAGGATAATGATATCCTTCAGGTGAAACTAGTATTGCCCCAATTCCATATCCCACAACATTTGAGGCACCATCGAAATTCATTTTCCAGTCTTTATCTTTCGGAGCATTTTCTTCCGCGGCAAATATACTCATTAAGTCCTCATTTGGAAATTCAAATTTTACTAGCTCATAGTCTTCTAATGGTCTTCTTTCTAGGAAGTTGGCAATAGCACTTTCTTTCATATCTTTTTGATTCATGTAGACTATATCAAATTTGGACAACAATATTTGCCATCTCGCCATCTTTGTGGTTAGAGCCAATGATTCCATCAGGTATTTTAACGGATCCAGCCTTGATAACAACCAGGTGGTGTGATATAGCAAATATTGTCTCAGCCTCTTATTAGTCCATACTAAAGCACAACACATATTTTCGATCAAGGAATATCGAGTCTCACAGTCAGTGAATTTCTTACTGAGGTAGTAGATAGCTCATTCTCTTATCCCAGTTTCGTCATGTTGTGACAATACACATCCCATTGACTTCTCAAAGATAATCAAGTATAAGATCAATGGATTGGTTGGGATTGGTGGCATTAGGACCGGAGCATTTTTCAAGTAACTCTTAATTTTATCTAAATATTCTTAGCAACTATCATACCACACTCCTTAGTTTTTCTTTCTCAGTAATCAGAAGATTGAATCACATTTCTCGGTTAACTGAGAGATGAATCTAGCACTATAATTTAACCTTCCAAGAAACTCTTGTACTTCGTTTTGTGTTCTAGGGGTTGGTAGTTCCAAGATTTCTTTGACTTTATCAGGATCTATCTTTATCCCTTTTTCACTTACTACAAATCCCAATAAATTCCCTGAAGTAGCTCCGAAAATGCACTTGGCTGGGTTAAGTTTGAGCTGATATTTTCTTAACCTTAAAAATAGCTTCTTTAAGACCTTCACATATTCTTCCTCATTTTGTAATTTTACAATCATATCATCCATGTATACTTCTATCTCTTTATGCATCATATCATGGAACAAAGTAACCATGGCTCTTTGATATGTTGCATCGGTATTCTTGAGTCCAAAAGGCATCACCTTGTAACAAAATATGCCCCACATTGTCACAAACGTTCTCTTTTCCTTGTCTTCAGGGTCTATCTTGATTTGATTATACCCTTTGAAGACATCCATGAAGGAGAAAAGAGCATGATCAGCTGTTTGTCGACCAAGGTGTCAATATGTGGGAGTGGAAAATTATATTTATGACTCGCTCAGTTGAGATCCTGGTAGTCAACACACATCTGAAATTTGCCATCTTTATTCAGGACTGACACTATGTTTGCTACCCATTCAGGGTATTTGGCTACATGTAAGAAACCAACATCAAACTATTTATTCACGTCTTCCTTTATCTTAAATAGCATTTGCTGAACATCTTTCATTATAGTTTTATTGGTAGCTTGTATACCACAATGTAAATATCCAATCTCGGCCTGTCTTGATAAGAGCAAGCAAACAAATCTTTACATTTTCGTAGAAGGCTTATAGGATCCTCTCTTGTTTTTGGTGAGAGTGAAGTTTCGATTTTCACATTCTTTCTGTCCCAAATTTATTGTTTCAGTTTTCTCTTTATGGGGAAATATTTGTTTGTCTTCTTGCTTCATCATTCTAACGAGTTCAGAATTTAACTCGCATTCCTTATCATCCTTATAACCCGCAGATTCTTTGAGACATATGTCATTTTTAAAATTAATTTGTGGTTCGAAAATATCATTATTCGAACAGTTGATATCTAAAGACATGTGAACGGAAAAGGAATATATTCGGTTGTGGAAAAGAATTTTATTTAAAATTTACCCAAAAGAATAATTATTAATAAATAATAAAGAATTTAAAGAATTTAATGAGATATTTGCTAAGAAGAGAATAAAGAGAAAGCATCTTTTCATTAAAGCAATGAAAAATAACAATTCGTCTTTTACAAAAGCCCTATTATATTTGGGTCAAAAGGAGACAAATTTGTTATTATGCCTTACTTTGAAGAGTGTTTATAGAACACGAGGAGTTCTTCAACAGTGTAGATGTTCAAAATGTAACCAGGAGGACACGAGCGAATTTATGTCAATGAGCATTCTCCAGTAGAATCATTTATGATGGCATTGATGCTCATACTTCCCATTAAATCTTCAACTACTTCTAATTCTTTACCATCCCATGACTGCTTCAATATATCAGTAACAAATCCTTTAGACATGAAAGATTTGGATAGCGGTGGTATGATCATAGGCCCCTAAACAACGTCTTCACCTTATGCTCTTATCTTATTTCTTTCCTTAAGCTTTTGTGCATCTTTGACTCTATCATGGTAAGTTGGTTTGTATCCGAGGAAAAAATAATTTCTTTTAAGAACTGAAGTCATCCCTTCAGTTATGCCTTGCAATTTATTACCCAGATCTTTCCCTACTTTCTCTCCTCTAGCTAATGTCTCCTTTAACTACATTTTTTTATTATTCGAAAGCTGAGGAATGGGAATTCTTTTGCCTTCGGGGATAAAAGTGGCATTAACAAATTCCAAGGACTGGAATGAGGACTCTAGTGCATTCTCATCTACCCCTACGCATGGTGCATCGATAGTGATAGAAGTAATGATATATTCTTCTGCCTTGATGGTCACTAGAGTCCCATCAACGATGAATCAAAGCTTTTAGTGAAGGGAAGAAGGAACTGCCATAGCCATGGGAATCCAGGGCCTCCCAAGAAAGCAATTGTAATTCAGATGGATATCTATGACAACGTAGGGCCAACTTTGAGAGGGATCACCATTTTGCCCATGATTTTACGATCCGTTCCATCAAATTCTCTCACAATATTGCCATAAACCCTCATTTGAGAGGCATCTACAAGAAGTCTATTTAGAGTGGTGAATGGCATGACATTCAAGGTCGATCCATTGTCAATTAACACCCTAGAGATGATGACCCCTTTGTAATAGACAGTAATGTCTAATGCCTTGCATCTACCTTTACCTTCCTCAGGTATCTCGTCATCATAGAAATAAATGAAATTATCTGCATTAATGTGATTTCCCATCCTGTCCACGCACTCAATTGGTATATCCTTTCCCAAAAAAGTTTCATTCATAACATTGATCAATGTATTTTGATGTACCTCAGAATACAACAGAATAGATAACATCAAAATCCGTGTTAGAGTTTTATAAAGTTGTTCTACAATATTATACTTGATGTGCTTCAAGAACTTCAAAAATTTCTGAGCCTCCTCGATCTTGACAGGTTTATTTATTTTATCTTCAGGATCGTCAATTATCACAGCTCTTGCTTTTTGTCTTTTCCAGGAGCATAGTACCTTCCGCTCCTGGTATAAACCCAACTTCATCAATATCTTCTTCATGACTCTCAGGAGTATTGATTTTGCACATAGAATCCCAAGGAACACTTTTATTACTTTTGTAGGAGAAAGGCATCGGGGTCTTGATAACCACTCTGGATGTTGTACTTCCCTTGCTTGCCTTATAGTTTGGTTTGGATATGTCCAGGATAGGTGTCTTTAATTTCCCTTCGACTCATTTTGAACTTTCTTTAGAAGCACAAATATATCCATCATTCTCAATCATCCATTCTTCATAAAAATGCAGCTCTTGTTTGTTTATCAAATCGTGGATCATTTGCCTAAATTCTTGACAATTCTGGATTTGATGACCATTTTCGCAATGGTACTCACAGAAGTTCTCTGGCTTTTCTGTCAAAATTTTCTTTATAGGGCTGAACAACCCTCTCTTCTTCATTTATTCATATACTCACTTCAACGATATTCTTACTTCTTCAATCCTCGTCTTAACTCTTAGGTTCTCTTTGATAGCGTTAACTCCTTGGTTTTAGTAATTTGGAAGCGGGTTTACAGCAACACAATGTGCCTCTGAGTCATTAAAGGACACTACCTTTCTTTTAATCAAATCCTCATCCACTCTTTTAAAAGCGAGACATTTTTCAATATTATGCCCTCGAAGATTTGCGTGATAATCACATCTCTCATTTTCGTTGTACCATTTTGGATAAAGTGGTTTGATCGGATCTATAAATCTTGGTGACTCTACGTGGGCTTAGAGTAATCCCTAGAAAAGTTCACCTTAGGTAATCGGTATTGGAGTGAACAACATTCTTTCAATGTTATTCTCATGCTTAGTCTCTCCTTGCGATGAAGAATTTCCCGTCTTTATCTTGTTCATAAAGAAATTTACATTATTCACTTCACCTTCTTACTTCTTCACATAGGGTTTCTTTGCAGGACTTTGGCTACCGTCTATTTGCCCCTTCTTTATTTCTCTCTCAATCATCTTACTACACATCACAATGTCAGAGAAGCTTTTGGTTTCCACTCCTAAATTATGATCGAAATAGGGAGATTTTAACGTATATATGAACATTGTAATGAACTCCCTCTCGACAAGTGATGGATGTACTTGGGCGGCAATATCTCTCCAGTATTGTGCGTATTGACGAAAGCTTTTGTTATGTTTCATCTCCATGTTTTGGAGAGTAACTCGATCAAGCATTATGTCGGTAACGTGCTGGTATTGTTCTTTAAACACATTTGCCAAATAATTCCATAACCCTATCTTAGCTCGAGTCAGTTAGTTATACCATTTGGCAGCTGATTCTGTCAAGCTGACTTGGAATGTAACACCCCCAACCCGTACTCGACCCGGATACGAATCCTAAGTATCACATTTACTTTTCCAAAACAATTACTTTTACAAAATAATTGAAAATTCAAACATGCATTAAAATAAAATTGTTATTTCATACATAAATACAATAAAAACATTACAAATTGATTAGAACTTAATTTAAGCTTAAATTAATTCTGATCTGATCTTCAGTTGATGTATATTGTCTTGCCACTTGTCCTAACTAGGATCCCCTTGATTCTTTGAACCTACGTGTGAAACACTCACACGCTAAGTCACATACTTAGTGAGGCATATAATACAATAATACAATACTTAATTCGTGAGCATGCAATTCAATAATATTCAAGTGTAATAACAATCATCATCTATCTACTTAATAAGAACATACATGGACATGCATTTAACTAATCATAATCTATCACCTTATTCAATATCATTTCACATTATATAATTTATTATCCCATGTACATACTGAGAACTTAAAGTATGTGAGTGCATTGAGGTTGTGCAATAATGTTGTCACCACAACTCGTATAAATTTGCACTGATTACCATATAAAATTACACTGAAGGACCTCATAGGATTGTC